TTTTATAGCTTCTGATTGTACCAGGAACAAAAAGCATGTATTGTTTGGAATAAATTGATTCTGAGGGATCATTTCTTAATTGTGAGAATGATTACAAAAGCATAACATTCCAGTCCGAAACTTATTGCAATAGGTATGTACATACCTGTGTTAGAATAATGTTAATTTTCTCTCCTAATGAATTTCTATTGATTATTGACTGGGAATGAAAGTGGAATACAGAATAAGTGCATCAGTGTGCAGCAGTAGGTCATGAATATATGAGAATGTACTTTAGAGGAAGAAGAAATCTTAATCTCAGTTTATTTTCACCATAGTGTCATGAGCCCTTACTCGATCCAAAAAGTGAAGAAAGAGCCCTCAAGTTTCACAACATCAAAACATGACTAACCTGCTCTCCAGGATTTTCAATGCCAGATGGAGACTGAAGTATGAAGACACACCATGATAAATACTCATGGTATAGGATAGGGAAAATGCTGTGGAGTCATGCAGAAGGGAGTAAATGATTTCAGCTGTCAGGACAGGGAAGGCTGAGATTTTAGGGCATAAACGAAGGGCACACAGTTCACTCATCAGCAGCCATGAGGAGGGTATTCAGGATCTGGGAACTGAGATGTAAATCACAGAGAAATCCAGAGAGTAATGCAAGGTGTGTTTTAGGATGGAGGAGTGTTCAGTGTGGTTGGCCATGAAGTACTTTAAGGGAGTGTCAGGAAAAGTAGAAGAGTGCAGAAAAACCATCAGGAGTCCAAATGAGGAGCAAGGAAGGGCTGAAGTAGAGCAGCAGCCAATGCTGATGGAGTGGAGGAAGCAGAATTAAAAGCCACTTCTGAAGGGGAAGTGTTAGTGGGACATTGGAAATTCCTTACATGAGGGAGTGCAAACTGAGTTGGAAGATGACTGAAGGTACTGTTCTGAGCAGTTGTGTTGTTGGTGATGTCATGAGCTAGTCTGGGGAACAGAGGGGGAGTAGGACCTGGAGTACTGGATGCCTAAGTAGGGGAGTTTTCCAGAAGCAATAATGGAAGTGTCTTATAGTGTCCAAGCTGGTGTCCATATTTCAAAATAAGGAAGCTGAGGCTTGTAATAGAGCATTGACTAATCTGAGATTCACAAAGCTAGTTGGTAAGGGTCAGAATGGTTAAAAAGGTATTCTCAGTTTAATAGAAAACCCGCTGTGCTTCCTACCATTGGTTTTATGCCTATGTGAAAGATTCACTGCTTGATTGTGTCTGCTGAGAGCATCTATAGAGCCTTAATTATGAAGTGAAAGTGTCATTAAATACACATTATGACTGTGATGTTTGTGTGAGTTTTTAGCTGAATCTTTGACACCAAATGGTCCATTTCAGTCTGTTACAAAAGACAGCCAGGGTTTCATTTAATCTAAGGAATTATAACAGGAAGGGTTTTTAGAGATCAGACACACGAACTTCATTTAACACATAAGAAAACTGAGTCTCAGGGAGAGAAATACATTTGTTTAAAACTGGTCTGATTTGTTCAAGGCTTCCAGTGATTAAAATTAAGACCCATGTCTTCTGATTCTTCAAGTTAGTAGATTTTCCCATAAGGCTCCTGGAACTATTACTGCAGCCATTGTATTAATTTCTGTGATTTGGTTGATTGCTTGGTTATTGGAACACCTCTTGAAACTGGAAACTGAGTCATGAGCACATTTATTGTACTGTGGTATGTGTTTGAGGACTAAGAGAAGGGGTCCTTACTTGGTGAATTGGATCATTTTCAGTGCAGATTCTCAGTATAGCTTTCTGTGGTATAGAAGTTCCTCCTGGTCAAAAACCTGTATTAGCTGCACAAATCACAGAGCCTGGACTTCACCAGTCATTCAGTAATTGTGTTAGATAAGTGATCTATGTGCCAAAGGAAGTTTTTAAATTGTAGTCATGTTTTAAGTAAATTTACTCAGGATGAATTCATCACTCTCCATTCCGCTCATAAGTAGCCATTCACAAAGTCACATGTTTCTCACACTTTGATTAAGAAATGGCAGAGAGGGCTATCAGCTGATAAAGGAGGGATTAAATGTGAGTGTTAGAAATGCTCTGATTTGAATGTGACCCCTGGCCAGAATGCCAAAAACACAAACTTTCTAAATGGGCTAGCCCAGTGACCTCCATATACAAAGGTCTTTTCTTTCCAGAAATAAGCTAGCTTCTTGGTTCTGATGTGACACACAAGCACAAGTGCACATGTGTATGCATGCACATGCGCACATACACACTTCCCCCTTTTTTTAAAACGGTGCTGGAAATTGAACCCAGAGCCTTGCACTAGCTAGACAAATATTCTACCAAGGAGCTATCCCCAGCCCTCCTTTATGATTCTTCATGAAGGTATAAAGTTATCCCTTGCTCTTTGCACTGTGTCATATATTGAAATGTAAAATTTCTATTCTTGAGAGCTTCCTACTCTGCTCTGAAAATCTCTGGACAAGCAGATTATTGAATAACCCATGACTTTGCTCTTCATCTGATTAGATCTCTGAAAGAGATCATAAGACATCCTTTAAAAAGCCTAGAGGCCTTTGGAGTTCAGAGTGATCACAGAGGGCTTTTTTCCCGCCAATCCTCTTGATATGTCATGGCCTTTCCTGAACAGTATCAAAGGAAATTGCTGTTTGCATCAGTCATTAAAAAAAAAATAAATAAAACTCATTTGGAAAAAATGAAAGTTCATCTGTGGGTTGTATGTCATATGAAAAGTATTTTACCCCTTTCTTTCATTGACTGTATAACTGTGGGAAATTTAAAAACAAATACTTTTGTGGTACAAGCTAGGTAAGAAATGCTTTAGGAGTGTTATGTGCTGTCTTTGATAAAAAGTTCTTCTTTCCAGAATATCCAGCTGGGCATATAGGCACCTAGACTAGGATTGAAACTATAGAATTCCATCAACTTTCACTGGTACATAGGGGTCCTTCACCTCCTCATAATGTCCCTGTGAACATAATCAACACAACATCTTTTTAATTTACACTAAAGTTCACCATTGCAAAATCTTGTGCTCGAAATTTTTGTATTCTAAGGGTATATTAACCTATATTTTCTTGGATATACCTCAGTTTCAGCAATTTGTTCTTTTCAAAAAAGTGTATCACATTCCTAATTTGTTTTACTTTATATACTTTTATAAGACTCTTAACATACATTTTCAAATCAAAAAGACTGTCTGGTTGCACACTTTTGGGGTTTTTGTGTTCCTAAAGTATGAACCCAGTTTTCATTAGTTCCTGTCCTCAACTAACGCAGAAATAAATGATGTGATTTTGTTAACTTTTGTTGCTTGGTTAAAATATCTGCAATTTTTCTTTTTGTCAAAATCTTTAGCCTGGGACTATGATTTGAAAATTTGTATCATACTTTCTATTTTATTTTTAACCTGCTGAAGAAATACATACTGATTAGTTCTAAGGTACTGAACTGGGAGTTTCATATATATTAATTTATTCCATCCATATGACAACCCTGTGGTACATTTTCTTATAGTCCTTTTGCTGGTGAGGTGGGCTTAGGATGTTTAAGAAACTTACCAATATTCACTTAGAAAACTAAGCATCAGAAAAAAGCTGATTCTAGCTGATTACAACTAATTCTAAAACCAGTCTTCATTCTATTTTTAAAAATTACTTATTCATTTTTTTTTGCAACATCTGGAGGTTTTCTTTACACAATAGATTATGGACTACTTGAAGGAAGATATGATACCATCTAGCTCATTATTGTATTTTGAGCATGTACCAGAGATTGCTATCAATATAGTAGATGTCCAATAGACATTTGTGAAGTTGGATTGAATAGGATGTTCCTGGCACATAAACCTGGAGGAGAGAGAGTACAAGACTATGGTTCAGTAGTTGAAAGTATTCAAAGTTAGTAAATGATTATGGGCTCTAGTTTCAAGTGACTCAGGTTTGAATTCTGATTTTGCAAGCTTACTATTTGTTTGATTTGAGCCAGTTACTTAGATTTTATAAGTCTCACTTTAAAATGAGACAAATGGCCATGCATGATGTTGTATGCCTATAATCCCAGAAATCTGGGAAGTAAAGGCAGAAGGACTCTAAGTTCAAGGCTGGGCTTAGCAATTTAGTGAGGCCCTGAACAACTTAGTAAGACCTGTCTCAAAATCAAAAATAAAAAAGGCTAGAGATATAGTTCAGTTGTAAAGTGCCCCTGCATTTAATAGCCATTGCCAAATAAATTGAAATAAAAACAAAATAAGAATAATGACTGAGACTGTTACTCAGTGGTAGAATGCTTGCCTTTCACATGCCAGACCCAGAGTTTGATTCCCAGAATTGCAAAAAATAAAACAGAATGTGGATAATACCTTTATGATCATTTATGCAGGTCACATTTCTTATTTTTAGTAAATATACAATTAATGGTGCTAGTATTATTACTTTTAATTAAAGTAGATTTCGGATGTCTTTTTAACATACTACATAATTTGTTTATTAATTTGCCTTTTCAGTAAAATAATGTAAGCCTTATGACAGCAGGGATTTTTATGTTTGAGTCATTATATCCCAAATGTTCAGAATAATGTTGTCCAATAGAACATCCTGTGTTGATCCAAATGTTCTCAGTTGGCATCATCTATTGCAGTAGCCACTAGCCATGTGTTTTATCAAACACTTGTAATGTAGCTATTGTGACTAAGAAACTGAATTTTAAATTTTATTTAGTCATAATTAATTAATTAGCCACACAAAGCTAGTGAGATACTATATTAACACAGTTCTAGAACATTACATGGTGCATAGTATTTTCTCAGTTAATACTTGTTAAATGAATCTTGTGCTCAAAAGATTAAAAACAAAACTGCATGATTATATATTTAGCACACTTTTTAAAGACTAGAAATAAGACTTTATTGAGTGACTTGTTCTTATTGGAGCCCACATGAAGTTCTAATATTTTGTTCAGTTCCAGTTGTAAAGAGTTTCTGAATTATATTTCTTCTTGATGCAGGTCAAGAGAGATTTGGAAATATGACAAGAGTCTACTACCGAGAAGCTATGGGTGCGTTTATTGTCTTTGATGTCACCAGACCAGCCACATTTGAAGCAGTTGCAAAGTGGAAAAATGATTTGGACTCAAAGTTAACTCTCCCTAATGGCAAACCAGTTTCTGTGGTTTTATTGGCCAACAAATGTGACCAGGGGAAGGATGTGCTCATGAACAATGGCCTCAAGATGGACCAGTTCTGCAAGGAGCACGGTTTCGTAGGATGGTTTGAAACATCAGCAAAGGTAATGTGACTTTAGAGGATGAGCATATTATAGGCAAGATTCTCAAAGAAAATGCACATAATCATTATCATCATTATAATAATACATGTTTGTCTGGTAATAAAGGGTTCCAAATTACTTTATTAAACTTTTTCTTATCTCAAGGCAGTGAATGGGCAGAGTGGGACATATTAAGGTGATTGTGACTGAGGGATCAAATCCATTTGTACATTTTTATATTGATAATAGTTAATAACTATTCAATTTTTGAGCACCTACTGTGTGTGAAGGCATGCTTAAATGCATTTTTGTATTTAGTCCTCACAAAAGATCTATTAGGTAAGTATGAGTTTGAAAGAAATGGGCCTTAAATTCAGTGCCATTGCCTTATTCATAAATTTAGACAATTAACAGTTAATGTGTTTAGCTGTATGTCAGGAATTGTACTTTGCCCTAGAAATGAAAAGATGGCAATAATACAGAACTACCACATTGAGAAATCTGGAATAGTGGAGTGACAGGGCAGTACAAATGTGGACAGCATTATGCAGCCATGTACAGCTGAAGCCTCCTGGGAGGCATGAAGTAGCAGATGTGGGAACAGAGGAAGGGCTAGAAGATACAGGATCCTATGTGGCATGATGAGGGTATATACTTCCCTTTATGCCCCGTAATGCTGTCTTCATTAAATGCATGGATTTTTTTCTGCTCTTTTTTTTCCTTTTATATAAAGAAAAAAAAAAAAAAAAAAATATATATATATATATATATATATATATATATATATATATATTTAAATTTCAGTATCTGAGAAAGAAAAACTTTCATGGTAAATTTTAAAATTAATTTTATTTTTTGATTGACATGTATTGCTCATATTTATGTGGTACAATGTGATGCTTTGATTCATGTATGCATTGGGTTATGAGCATTCTGATATTTTTTACATTATGATTGCAATCCATATAATTCCATAGATTTGTGGAACACAAATATTTACATTTTTGTAGAGCACAGGTACTGTGCTACTTGTTTGGAATTTGGCTGTGAATAAGATACATTTCTGTCTCTTTACTTATGGAATTCACACTTATTTTGCACATTTGTGCACAGCATCAAAGAATGGTTTGAAAATATAACTTTAATGGGAGTCATTCAAACCTGGGTATTTTATTGCACAGTAGAGTGTTTATAGATATTGATAATTTACTGTATTCTTCAAAAAGCCAGAAGAATGGTTTCTGGAATGCTTTTATCACAAAGAAATGATAAATGTTTGAGGAGAGACATGTTTGCCCAGATTTAAACATTACATGTGCCCTTGTGGGAAAATTATGAGGCCTTGCTCTAGAATACAAGTAAAAGGGACTGGAGAGAGAAACTTTGAGATTATCACTAAAGTGAGAAAACCATCAGAATAAAACCACTGCTTGGATTGGGAGACGATAGAAGGAGGTGGCAGTACACTTTTCAGAAACAATGGGCATGATCATTTATTTGAGGCATTTCTTAGAGAATCTCAATGCCTTCTGTCTCTCTGCAATCATTAAGCTGCTCTTAGGTTTAGAAAGTTGTTTTCCCTCAGTTTCTAATATTCTTGTCTTCTTTCCGAGGTTCCAGTGATCAAGCTAGCTTTCCCCGCTCCTTCCTTTAAAAGTTCCTAATTTCCCCTATTTCTTAGGACATAGTACCCATCATTTTCTATTTCTTGGCTGTCATTGAGACTTTTGATTCATGTGTTTCAAGGATTTATTACTGTGAAGACAGACAGGTGGAAAACAATTCAGATATTAAAAGTGGCAGAAATATAACAAATATGAAATTTGATAGTTTGACTTTTTCCTGAACATTAGCTTGGATTTTCCTTTTTAATTCCAAAATGTGGATGAATTCATTTATTCTACTTTTCCCTTAGCTGCACACTTAACTTCATAACTTCTGCATTTTCTTTGAGATCTTTAGTTTCAAAAAAAGAGTCACTTTCCAATTCAAAAGCCTACAGGCCTAGTGGAGAAAGGAGGATTTTAGAAAACTCATTTTCTCAGTTGTTTACTTTAAATTTTAAGGGAAAACTAGATTGAATGATATTTATGGAGAGGAAAGACCATCTTCCTTTATTCATTCATTAAAAAAAAATGTCATTGAGTGTCTGTTATGTGTCAGCCACTGAGAACAGAAACTTGCGAAACAGAGTCTTTGGCGGGGGGTGTGCGTGCTGGGGTTGTGGTTCAGCAGTAGAGCACTCACCTAGCATGTGTAAGGCGCTAGGTTAGATCCTCAGCACCACATAAAAATAAATAAATAAAATAAGGGTATTGTGTTCAACTACAACTAAAAAATAAAATATAAAAAACATCTTTCCCTCATGGATAGCAATAAGTAAAACTTACAGTGTTTTGGATGGCGATTAAATGCTAGTAAGAATAAAGAGAAAAGATGAGGCCTGTGAATGTGTGGAGGGGAAGATTGACATTGCTTTTGGGTCAAAGAACTTCTCAACATTTTCTTTTTACTTCACCCCAACATTCTTTGTTCAGCCACTGCAGTGTCAAACCCTATATGCTTAAGGATATGATGTTCATTAACTTAAGGTCTGGCTAACCCTCCTAGTTGGATACTGCACTTCTAATCCTCCAAATCCCCACTAGTGTGAACTTTGAAGAGAAGCTTTGTACAGCGTGGGAGAGGGGACATGGAATTTCACAAGCTAAGAGAGTACAAGACCTCATTGTAAAAGACAGAATCCACATTCAACATCTCTTCTCTCTCCAAATAACTGCTACTGACGTTGTTGTTCTGAGTAACTAATGAAAATATTTGGCCAGTGCCAGGTTAGTATTCAGGCTCCACACCTGGAAGCCCAGGAACAATACTGCAGCAATGACAAAGTAGAGTTTTGAGCTGTTCAAAAATCTTTTCAAAGATCTATGTAAAGTTAGCCAGGGACAGTGGTGCATATTTGCAATCCAAGCAGCTTGGAAGGCTGAGGCAGGATGATTGAGAGTTCAAAGCCAGCCTCAGCAAAAGTGAGGTGCTAAGCAACTCAGTGAGACCTTGTCTCTAAATAAAATAGAAAATAGGGCTGGGGATGTGGCTCAGTGGTCGAACACCCCTGAGTTAATCCTGGGTACCCAAATAAAAAAAAATCTATAATAAAAGTCTTCTAACTTTCTGACTATAGCATCACAACATTTACAAAATTGAAGCCCAGATAAAAGTATCTGCCTGAAGCTAAAATAGCAGCATTTGGGGACAGCTACCAATTCCTTCTTTGATTACATTTGGGATGAGGGAATATCTCCCATAGAGAGCTTTCTGCTAGAAAGTGAATCTTCTAATAATTAGAGAACTCTTGAGTGATATCACAGTCATGCTGGTGATTAACATATGATTTTCCTTTCTTGGATCTCTGAACATCTAATGAGCCAAAGGTTATAGCCTCTGGCTTTGTCCCCATGGGCACACCCTGAGTAAATCCTTTGGGTGTCACCAACAGCGTGACCCTCTCTGAAACTGAAGCTAACAAAGCATTACAGGAGTTTGTTGTTGAAATTATCCTCTGTCCTGCTGTGGACCCAAGTGCTGAGGTAAATTTACCCTTTTGTTCCTCCATCTTCTGGAGTAACTTCTCATGAGAGTTTTCATGCCTGTTGCTGTTGCTGGAACAATAATGTAGCCCCTGACTGGCTAGTGCATTAAGAGAGAGAAAAAAAACATAGATGTCTTCTGGTGCATCTGATTTTTCACTTTATCTCTTCCAATATTAAAACTCAGGAAAAGAAAAGAAAATAGTATTTCCTACATCAGGTTTTCAACTTTTGCATTTTTTTCGTTCAGCTATATTTCTTTGAATTATTTTGTAGACAATATATCACTGGGATCCTCATATGTCTCAATTTGCCCAAATTGCTTTTGGGTCAAAGAACTTTCTCAACATTTTCTTTTCCCTTTATTCTGACATTCCTGGTTTATACCTGCTTTCCTAGTGGAATTATTAATAACACTCTCCAAACATTCCTGGTTTGTAATTTGCATTTTTATGGTTGCCCTATAGATCAGGAATTTGATCCATTTTACTCTCATTATCATAGCTTTACTCTTAAAATGAATATTTTGTGTATTCCTATGCTTGTGTCTAGACTTCATAACATGCTTTAGTATATATGTCTTTCAGGGTTATTTCCCTACCCTGTTCTTGTTAATGAATCCTCAGGGTTTGGAGTCTTGTCATCTGGGCCCATTTCAGAAGACAACTAGAACCTGCTACCTGCTAACCAATTTACATGGTTAATTCTTGAATCTCACCCAGGTCCAGCTTTTGTGTATTTGCTGTCTAGACACCCTTACCCACCTTCTAGAGTTGTAAATACTAAGAGAATGTATGTGGAGTCCCCAGATACATTATGTCTGATCCCACAAAACACACACACACACACACACATACAGTCTACTTTACCCATAACCTATCTGCTGGTCTGAGTTTTCTCATCTTAGTGGGTGCTGATGCACACAATAACCACACTCCAGTGGAAAGTCTGTTTCTATATTTTAGCTTTTTCCAGTTTATTTTATTCTGCTCATAAGGTGCAGTACTTCAGGTGTGGCTATGTTCAGAATTAAGGATAAGAAGGAAATACCAGCGTAGCTGGGAAATAATGGAGCAAGGTGTATCTAGGTAACAGTGAGAACAAGAATCAAATTCACAGAAAGAATCTGTAGTTAGCCCTGCTCTTGCTTCCCTCTACCTCAATTCCTACCCCTGAAAGATGCCCTTGATTATTTCTAACCTCCTTATACTGACTTTTTAGGTACACCTTCTCTCCCAGAATGTTCTGAGAGCAGTGGGTGTTTTGGTAAGAAATCTTCTTACATTAAATTGTACTCAATTTTGGTCTCCCTCTGAAGCTAAAAGAAAAAAAAAAAATGTTGATGTGGGTCGTTCTGCTGAGAATAATGAATATGCTCAATTGTGTTCTCACTGAGATGGCATTAGTCATTTTAGGGGCTGCAGTGATCATTTC